ATTGCAATTGATTTCAATTGAATTGATTTTTTAATCTGATTGAATTACTCACCCCCATATGCCTTATAAATTTATAATAATTGTCAGTTTTAATTGTTAATTGTTAATCAAAAACATTGAAAAGATTGAAAATTGATTAATTGTTAATTGTAGATATTTGCGATTAACGATTGATCAATTGTTAGTTGCGAGAACCGCAATTAACAATTAATCAATTAATCAATTGTTAATTGCGGTTCTCGCAACTAACAATTGATCAATCGTTAATTGCTGTTTCGCAATTGACAATTAATCAATTGTCAATCTTTAATTGCCAGAACAATTAAATTTTGCCCAACACTGGAACAGAACACTCAAATAATAGTAGCGCTTATATTGACTTAATTCATTTTGTCAGTACATTGGTAATACTTCTCCGGTGACTACACAGAAAGTAATTAAAAATGGTAACCTATCACAAACTCGAATTTTTTTCCGAAATAACCTTTCTTCGAATTTTAATCACACCGAAAACAAAACCGTTGTTCTTTGACGATATGTTGGATGTTTATCGCAAAGACACGATTAGGTTCGGTTAAGTTAGATTAAGTTAAATTTAAAAGAAAAACATTTTCCTCTCAAAATCACTTTCGAGGTTATGAAAATTCGAGCAAACGTTATTTCTGGAAACTGTCATTTAGGACTGCTGATAGGTAACCGTCGGAAATCGCACTGTAAAGCCAGGGGTTGGTATTTTAGATCCATATAGCGAAACGGGATGCCCCGTACTACCATATTCTGATATTCAATTTAACGGTAAACGACGTCACTGTCCTTGTCGATTTGTTCCATGTTGAAACTTCTATGTGCTCTGTGACAACTCCGTAAAGTCGATGATAGAAGTTTAGCCAAAAACCTTCTTTTAAACGACATACTTTAAAAACTATTATATTATGTAAATGGTATTATACCAATCTACGGCTAATGTCAATTATTAAAATTCGACAATAACAAAGATAACCTATACTCTACTTGTATAATTTACACACAGTATATACGCTCAGCCCCAAGCCCCCAATATAAACTGCACTTTTTGACCGACTTCAAAAAAAGGAGGAGGTTCTCAATTCATCCGTATTTTTTTTGTATGTATATTACGCGATAACTCCGGGATCTATGAACCGATTTTGATGATTATTTTTTGTTGGAAACAGGGTACCTTAGTAGTGTTAGTTGTGCGGATAATGGCTGCTATATGGATCAAAATCAACTACGAGCTTATGAGTAAATAAATATGGCTCTTTACAAAAATAACAGGAAATGACCAAAAAATAAAGTTGGCGTAGTGTTCACTGGAGGTATCGATCTGGTCTCAAATTAAGTATTTTCCTGTACTGTAAGTACCAGAACAACAAAATTGACTCCGAGGCGATACCCTAAATACCCAACTCAGCAGGCTTAGCATAAGGCAAAAAAATATAGTTTTATCGGGAAAAACTATTTTCATAGAATAATGGCTACCATTATATAGTTAGCCAGTGGCGAGATAGACGCAAAAATTCGGTAAATATAGAGTAGATAAACATCCTGCTGGAGAGTGGCAGATATTTATCTACGAATACGAAATATGGTTGGACAAATTGGCTTAATTTTGACATTTGTGTAAGTGACGACTCCACATTCGCAATTCTCATACTCACGCAATGCGATTTTCGAGAGAAAATAAAACAGCTCGATGGATAGACAACTTTTGTCATAGGATTGATGCTAAGCGTGCTGAACTAATTTGGGAAGTACGTTCCTTAATTGATCATATCGGGAATCGAACTAGGAATCTCCTCATCTAGCGCCTACAGTGCCACCGAAGCAGTAAAGCTTGCTTTGCTTTGGTCATTGATATTGGCGAAGTTTCTGGTTACAACCTATAATAATATATTATACATTTTGCTTACCGTCGATATTGATAAAAGCACTAGAAGTGAAAATAGCAGACTGGAACAATCCAGTCCACATTTCCAATCCGTCACCGAGATATATTGGAGTGTTTGGTCGCTTGAAAAATTGTCGCCCAGACTGAAAACAAGCAAATCGCATTATAGGTAATCAAAATACTACACAATACAGTAAGTACTTTATTCTACATTTCGGAATTCCGTTTTACGGCAATTAGCGAATATAATTAAATTTATCAGCGCAAAAGTAGTGTGACCCCATGAAAAGCATATCGAAGATTTAAAATTAGCCAATCTCATTTTATGTATACTCGTAGCAATCATTTTTCTTTTTTATAACAATAAGTGACGGGACGAACAAGTCGTGCGCCTGATGGTAAGCTGTGTAGCTTACCATCAGGCGCACGACTTGCCTGTCCATAACAATTAGTGCCACTCAGAGCTTTAAATTGCAAAGATCTGACGCCACTGCGCCCGTCACCTTAAGACGTAAGTTGACAAGTCCCATGAGCCTTTAATTTCACTAGCACCCTTACCCTTCAAAACCTGAACACAGTAATGCTGACATTACTGCTTGGCGACAGAAATAGATAAAACGACAGTACTACCCCGGACGAACTCTTTCACAAGGAGTTCTACTGCTACTATAATATAATAATATGACCAATACATAATGATTAATTTATTTTTTATAAATGAAAATACCATCCAAATACGTAATAATTATTAGAGATGACGAGTAAAGTTTTACTGAGTAACCGAGTACCAAATATTGCTCGGTTTAACATTTGCCGAGCCGAGTACTTGGCCGAGTTACTCGGTTCATTACAACCGGAACGCGATGATCCTAAAAGTCCCATTGCTCTAGAATTAGACCGGTATGTCAATGATAGTGTATTGTTGCGAGAGCAGTCATTTTCAATGGTGGGCACGGCATAAAACAAGATATCCAAAACTGGCACAGTTAGCACGAGTATTTTTATGTGCACCGGTAAGTACTGTGTATAGCGAGCGGTTATTTTCCGAAGCGGGTGATGTGTATAAAGAAAAAAGGAACAAACTATTACCTGAACGCGCAGAAAGTCTTGTATTCTTACACCATAACTTGCCTCTGTTAAATTTTAAATATTAATAATGTAAAATTTCTTTTCAAATTACTAAATTGCAACAAATTGTTACAATTGTCTAGAATTTCTAGTAATAAATCTCTTTTGATTATTTTAAATATATTGTTGGTTTTACTATATTATATCTATAGCTGTGATGCTTTATTTTAACCAAGTGCTCTTCTCATGAACCGGTTATTCGGTCGCGTACGAGTAGTAAAAAAACGGCCGAGTACACAGAGTAGCAAACGAGCACTTGGCGCAAAAAATGTGAGCTACACCACTTTTACGCTGATCACTTCAGTTATTAGTTATTACAGAGAATCTCTTCAATCTGGTAAGAGAGTGAACACACTTATCGCGGCCTATAATAATAAAAACGGAAAAGCTGTTGTGCGTCTCGCATCGGCTCGTGAGGCGCGGTTCAACACAGATCGACAACGAATCTGGAAGTCTACTCCCGTTTTCCGTCCGAAACAATTACTGTCAAATAAGTAATACTCGACCCAATTAAAAAACGTGTAATACGAATGAAGTTACTTGACATTGTTTTTTTATTTGCTCGAGTATTACTTATTTGACAGTGATTGCTTCGGACGGATGTCGGACAGAGAACTGGAGTAGACCCCCCGCTTCCTGCTAATTTCCGATCGCGTCTGTACGCAGCCGACAACGGCTGAATGGTTGCGTCGACGCCCGAACAGCCGCGACGAAGTCTGAATGGCCGCGTCCACACCCGACAACTCCAACGCGCGTAAGCTACATTTCAAACCACCCGATCCAACACGAATTAAGTGTGGTGTGTCCCTAAACCACTTCAAATATTGACCTTATATCTAAACAGTTAAAGCTTCTAATTGCAGCAGCGAAATTATGAGCAAAAATTGACAAATAATGCATTCAGTCAATAGAACATAAGAACTTACCCACCTATTAATGTTAAAACAAGCTAAAAACAATAACTCCTACTGTTTTTAGCTTGTTTCCTGTTGTAGCGTGCTTTGTGTCCTGTTGTAGAAATGTTCAATAGTTGAATGCAGATACACTCAACTGTTGAACATTTCTTCAACACAGAAATGCTAATTATAAAGCAAAAATCTCAATGAAAAAAGCGTAGAAATTAGAAAACATTATTGTAGATTTTATTACCTTTACATAAGACTCCAATGTTCCCTGGCGAAGAATGACGTCTATGCATTGGATTACGTCGGTTGGAGTAAAATGGGAAGAGCCACCTTGGGCCATGTGACTGTAAATAATATTCGTTATGGTGTACAATTTTTTTTAACCTTTAGACGACTTAGGTCAGGTATGTTGGGACCATCATACAGGTCCAGGAATGTTATCACTATGAACTTCATGTCCTCAAAGAGTTTTGTTAGCGTATTCAGACATTTACAGATATTGCTCACAAAGTTTTCCTTCGCTGTTAATACTAAAATACCACAAAAAGATTTAGTGGTACCTACAGGCCCCGTCCAATCAATGCTATGCAATAGTAAAATTATGTACGGAAAGAATGGGGGTAGTATTGCACCAACTAGGCATTCACTGCCAAAGTTACACACAAATTAAGATCCAATATTTTTAAAAGTTCATAAAAATTATTACAAAAATTCTTACTTGTGAATATGTCCCAAGTTAACAGCACCGGTTCCCTTTAAACTGACTTCGAAAGTCATCAGCTTTCCATTGATGTCCTCTATTTCGACCTGTGATACACTGTTTTATCAGGACGGAACGTAAATTATTTATTACGTACGAGTTAACACTTAAAAGCGCCGAGCCGTAAGCGCGGGTTTAAGCGTCACCAGTTTACAAATTTGATACTGCAATTTTATTGAAAGCAGTGAATTATTTTCCGCTTTTCCGCATTAAGCAATTTTCACAAACCGCAATATATTTAGATTTAGTAAACCAAACAACCTTTACGGCTCTTTTTTAAACTACACATTTATGTGTCCCTATTACCGTAGTATAATAAGACCAAGTAGGACAACTCCCGCCTAATCTGTTCATCAATGCCTACACTTCACTCGGAACGTAGTAGGGTTGCCACATTGATTTAGTTGTGCTACAGGTTGTAATCATAATTTGACAATTAGATTTCAACAAAACATTTACGTTACTAGTTACTACATTCACTCTCAAGGTCACGTAGAGGGCGGAGGTTATTAAAAAGATGACACGCTTCAACTGTTTAAACAAGTGCATAGGTATCGCCGTTCTTTCTGGATTTATTTCTGTAATCCGGAATACCCACATCAAAACCAATTTAGATATAGTTTCGAGACCTCCTCATCTAACGCCCATAGTGCTAACCGTTAAAATAAACAAATAAATAAAAAATGTGTAGTTTACCACGTTTATTCAAATAACCATAAACGCAACAATATACACATCTATTATTTGATGACATTTTTAAACACCAATTATTCAATTCTATAATTAATGGCGCGTGTGAAGACTCGCGCTATGTAATGCGAATGTATTACAAGATTGTACGAATGTGTGGGACCGTACACGGCGCGCATGTACACTTGCAAACTGCGCAGCAATATTTGTAAAGGTTTTACCCTGTTTGGTCTTATTATGCTCTTATATTGCTAAGGGCACGTTCCCACTATGTCTTGACGACAGATTGTCGTGCAGTTTACAGTGTCGGCGCTTGTATATTAAAAATAATGTTGTTCACATATAGCACGACACGAATAACTGTCGTTCACGATTTTTTATCGTTACAACGACAAACTGTCGTCACAGTGGAAACAGCTAGAACGACAGTCGTCAGACGATAAAAAAACGTCACTATAAAAACGTGACGACAGATTGTCGCAGCTCCTATTGTCGTCACGTTTTATTTTATACGTCACGTTATATTTTCTTTTCTTTGTTTGCTTCATCTTCCGCATTTTTAAAAAGTAATACATTATTAAAATTCTTCTTCACCCATTTCGAGAAAACACACACTACCGGCTGCCAAAAGAACATACAAGCGACTGCAGTGCATCAAACGATTCTGTCGTGCAAACGACAAGGAGGCTGTCGTGAAACAATAAATTGTCGTCACGATCTAGTGGGAACAGCTAGTCATGACAGTCGTTCAACGATAAAAAATCGTCCAAGACAGATAGTCGTGATATGGGAACAGGCTAAACACGAGTCGTCCAACGATAATAAAACGTGACGACATAGTGGGAACTCGCCCTAAGAAATACCAATACTGTGTAACAATTTTGTATACACGTCGGGTTTTAAAGCATAGATTTGAACACTTTTCTGACAGTAAAATTTTAAATCCGTCTTAAAAATCGATATTTTACACACGACATAATTAAACTGTAACTAAGAATACGCACAGTATTAAAATATATTACTTCATATTCATCGACCGATATACATCGCAATAGGTATAGCTGCCAACAGAATAACTGCACATCTACAGTTAATGTGTGCAGTCAAGAGTTCAACTGCAAGCTTTTGCTGCAGTCGATGTGTGTGAACAATATTTTGTGTCTTAAATTCCTTGAATTATACCAGTAATATGGCAAAAGTGAACAATTACTAAAGTCTTGTTCAATCAACGTAATGGTAAAACAAAAAATACGATTGGTGAAACTTTTCGCGATGAATTTATATCATTTGCACAACTCTTAATTTTTTCTGTGATGCCTTTGTTTACATTTTTTATCGCAACTTCCACCGCATAGTATAGCCGGAGATTATGGACATAAGTTCGTTGACAAACTAAATTTGTGAATATCAATAGTAATTTAATATATTATACACTGAGCTCTTGAAAATATAGGCGCACGATGGTAACTGCTTGACTGCATCACAGTAGTACATGTCGACTTAGCGCATACAATCCGTCTGATAGCAGCCTAACAGTTGCAGTAAAATACGACATTCTTTTTAACGTAACTTCGCATCGCCCAGCTTTCAAATATACAGGGTTATTTTTAAAACATTAACAACCACTCAGGATTATATTACTAATAACATAAACTACAACCTTCGTTCCATGAATTTTTACAAAACATAATAAATTTACCAAAAATATGCTTTTAAGTTTTTTTTGTACTATCTGACACTTTTTAGATCTGTATTTGGTAGTATGGTATGTTCAAACGCGCAAGCGCAGAGTTATACCCGTTTAGAGCGAACTATTTAACAATTAATTATTAAGTCCTGGAACAAAAGTTGTTGTTTATTGTGATGTTAGTATTTTATAAATAGCCCTGTATCACACCCCGGACACTCCATATAACGGTCGAAAATTATTTACCTACTATTACTACATACAGCAAGGCGCTATCTGCACACGCGCGAATATGTGCGTGAAAAGGGTTACCCACCCATCACTTGCTCGTACCATTACGTTACGCGGTCAGAGCGGCAACATAGTGAAAATTTTAACACGAATCTGTTATCTATAATTCTATTATAGAATCCTAATAATTACACATGTTCATTACGTATTTATATCGATATAAAATTATATTTTTCATTAATTCAATAACTAGAATAATATTGAAGATTTATTTAAAAAATATATTAAAAGCTTTCGACAGGTACCTTTAAAAAAGGTAACCAAAGTATTTGAAATTGCGTGTCCAACTTTATCATTACCTAGTTATTAATTAGGTATATTCACTAAGTAATATTTATCGGCAATAAAAATTGAAAATTCGAGAAACCTTGTCTAGCTCACGAAGTTATGGCTTCTTATTATATTGATACAATAAATCCGTATTATGTACTCTGCACTAAAGAAAACAATAACTGAATGAGACTCAGACATAAGTTTATTTACTTACTACGTTTCATCTTTCAAAAAACGAAAGAAACTCCTCTCTTTATCCCGTTTAGATGACGATAAACAGCCGTACACAGCACAATTCACGACCATTATAAATAGTAACGTAAAATGATGTTATATATTAACGTACAAATTTCGTAATGAATAAATGAAAGCTATATTCAAATATAATCAAAACCGTCTTAGCGCGAAAATGGCTCGCCGGCAGCCTTGTTCTCGTTCAGTCAATGTGACCGTCAATATGCGGGGCGTGGTGCGGGGTCTAAAGCTAGGGAGCGGCGGAGAGTGTCCGTTCTCATTACTTATGTGTTCTCTGCCTGTATATAAAACGCGCTCTAGTTTTTGGGCGTTTCCCAAGTATGTAACACAGTAATAATAAGCACCTACTAATCAATCAAATACTCACTGTTTTACTTAAACGCTCAGTTTGAGTTACATGAGATAGGGGTTCCAAAGCATAACAAATCTTCACTTGATCAAATGCAATCAAACTTTTCGGAAATAGTTTATTTTTGGCCGCGAGGAATGCTTTCGGAAGCATTTTCTTTGGTCTATCAGGTGTGAAGATAACATCGTACCGATTCTAAAAAGAAAAAATAAATTAATTTACTTAGGTAGTATTAGATGTCATATGTTAAATATACATTAAGCTTCGACATCTTGGTATAGTCAAGAGTACGTCAACTTTGTACTTTGGACCATTCTTATTGTAAGCGACATAGAGTTGGATTTAAATCGTAAGTATCAAGCTTGACGTGCTCTTGACTCTGTACAAGAACATTCCGTTCATATTGATGTATGACCATTTACATGAATTATTAAAAATGTGCTTATGCCTCTTAAGAAACTACTGTTTTTACTTACAATTATCAATGGTTTGAAAGTCATCGGAAGATAATTTGTCAGGAGACGAATTTCCTGTGCTGACACAGTCCGACCAACGATTTTGTCAGGAATTTTGGGTGGGGTGCCCCCTTTAGTGTGCACGTCACCTTGGGCAATCAATGGCACAGATGCTGGCCCTGGTCTCGGATCTTGAGTATATGATGGTGGTGCTGCGCCTCGTCCGCGACCACCACCGCGACCACGACCACCACCGGCTGTTTGCGAGTAAGGGTCTGCTTGCGGTGGGCGTTGTTGCGGAGGGCCTTGTTGCAGCGGGCCTCGTACTGGAGGTCCTTGCTGCGGAGGGCCTTGTTGCGGATGGCCTCGTATTGGAGGACTTTGCTGCGGAAGACCTTGTTGCGAAGGACCTGGTTGCGAAGGACCTGGTTGCGGAGGACCTTGTTGCGGAGGACCTTGTGAGTGTGTTCCCCATCCCCTGGGCTGAGATATAACAGATGCGTGTGCCTCCCGAGGCGCAGCTTGCACGTAGGGTGGTTGTGTAACCGCAACTGCTTGAACAACTGGCGCAGCTATAACCGGAGCGGAGGTTGAAGGCGCTGATATTGCCTCCTTCTTTTTACGTGGTCTTTTCTTTTTTGAAGATCCAAGACCTAAGCCAACAAATTCTTCTTCGACCGATTCTACCGCCACTGGAGCGGGCGAAGGCTGAGGCTCAGGTTTAGGTTCAGCCGGCGGAGGTGCTTCACATATAATAGTTTGTTCTTTCTTTTGATGAACTCCTCCAGTGGTTCCTTTTTCCACTGCTGGAGTTTCTTGTCTTGATGTAGAAGGTTCAGTGATTGCAGAGGAGCTTGCACTTGTTTCACCTTTACTGGGCAATTCACTCTTCTTTTTATCCTTATTTTTACCTTAAAAAATGTATATTTCAATTAACTATTTGAATGTAAATAAATGATTTTAGACTCAAACAAAGGTTTTATTCTTACTCGCCAAGAGCTATGTCAATTACGAGCCATAGTTTGTGACAAACATAAGCACCATTATGTTGTTAATAAAAATCATAATAACATGCACTTGATGACATATGTACACTTCACAACGTAAGAAACTTACCCTTAGCCATTTCTCTAATTGCTTTTGTTTTAAAATATCAAAAAGATCTGTAACAACATAAAGTATAAAAATTACCGAACCGATTTTCATGATTCTTTTTTTTGTTGGAAAGAGGGTAGGGTTACCTTCATAGTGATCCCATTTCATTTTGAAGAAAATCATCCACCTCTAAGGGTGGCTGATCACGCATGAACATTCATTTTTATAAATAGAGCCTAAATTTTACTTAAGGAGCAATTATTTTAATGGTTGGTTTTGCTATTCTCCAATTCAAGGCGTTTTCTCTCTCAATATACTTTGAGTAGTGAGAACCGTTTTTTATTATCTACTATGTCAAGTCCTGTATAGTGGCGAACTAAACATCCCCAAATTTCAATAAAACTTGGCAAATAGATGTAATTCCACATACTTTTGAGGTCAGTTTTTTTTAGTACTCTGTACTGAGATTATTTAAATCAAATAAATTTAAATTAGGGACGTCACTAATAACTGAGAATGAACATAAAAAAAGGTAGAGTGATTACGAAATTAATGTATTGCCAAATGCATTATGCATAACGTGCCCATACACACTCTGAGCGGGACAGTCCCGCTTTTAAGGCTAAATAATTGCGGTGGAATGGAATGGAAGCGAATTTTTGTAACATTATTGAACATAGCATAATAAAATTTATGGTCAATTGTGAAAATCATCCACAAAATGCACGAGCATTCTCGAGCATGTGTGATAATTCCGCAGAAGATTTTGGGTTAGATCTAGTTACAAAAATTAATTGACCATAAAGTAAATAATCGTCGCCTTACTTTTCCACTCATATCTTAAAACACAAAGTTACTGAAATGTAAAAAATGTATTTATTGTATATACAAATTTCGCAGGCTGATTTCACATTACATTTTCTTCATATTTACACACTGGCTTTTACCTATTCTTAAAGTAATACATCAAAATTAACACCCTTAATAAGAAATTTAAAATAAATAGAAAGCTTTGACTCTTTATAAGATACGACTTTGAGAAAGTAAGGCTTTTCTATGTACAATATTGTTAAAAAAATTTGCTTCCATTCTGTTCCGCCGCAATATAAATTGAGCCTAAGCATCATTAGTCCTACTGTCCCCAAAATACCTAAAACCGTCCCGCTTTGACAACACTTATTAAACATTAAACAGAGCATTAAACATTTTTAGTTCTTTTTAAAATTTTTTTTAATCATTAAACACTTTGTAACTATTATAAACATGTGTTTTGTTTTTAAAACAATAAGTATAATTATAATAAACATAATAAGTCCCATTCTGCAGGAAATAAATAATGGCCATTCCAAAGCGATGAGTGGGACATTTTGATCCCTTTTTCTTGAACTTGGATTATAGTAATTTCTCCCTAACCATTGGTTAGTTTCGACTTAAAATTAAAATACCATGAAGCCAGGTATGCAATTCAACTGCGAGTATTTATTTAGATAAATTTATGACATTATTTATACTAAAAACTTTTAATTTTCTAAGTGTGACGGGTGCGACACTCACGACACCCGCCTGTTTGAGTTGATGGCTTCATTGCCAAGATCAAGACAATATACCAATATTTTGTTCAGCGAGTTTTTCATATGAGATAACTTTAATGTTAAAGTTCTAATTTATATATAAACTTAATTAATAACTTTGATACATTTTAAGGAACTTAATATGTTAAGTTGTGACAGGTGGGACGAGTTAAAATTGAATACACAGAATTAATCAAATTACACTGGTTATAATGAGATCCATCGTCAGTAAGCAAACATTTTATAATATTTGTCTTATTAAGACATTTTAGCATTAAAAAAAACAGAATTAAAGAACTGACAAAGTAATCCTGCTATTTTTCTTGAAACACTATCTATGACAACATGAAATCAAAGACACGCATGTAAAATGCGTTAATAAATTTGAAAAATCCTGCCGTATCCTTGAAGATTATGTATCAAAATATATCGAATTGTAGAACTTTTTCTCAAATATATAGTCAAACCTAGTGGAGACAGACTTTTCATGAATTTCCTGATACTAAAAATCATCAGGAAAAATGTTCCACCTGTCACAAAATGGTGTCCCAATCGTCACAATTTAACACATCAATGTTAAACTCCGAAATTAAAGCAACTTTAATTTCGGAAATTAAAATACCTAGTAAACATTGTAAAAACTCGAATCCATAAAAATATTATTCAAAGAAAAATGTTCAGAAGTGTGTCCCACCCATCGCTGTGACAGGTGGGACACACTTTCAAATCTTAATATTTACATTCCTATTTACGTGCACGATGACCAACCAAGCCAAAATAATGACCCTTAGCATAATTGTTACTTTTACAAAAGTAAATGCCAATAGATTGCACATTTATTGGTTAAAATAAAAATATATATCTTTCATTGTGTCAGGTGGGGCTCGAATTTAGTATTTATTGAAACTTTAATAACTCCTCACCATATATATATAAGTTGTTTATGTACTATTCTTGTTCTTGTGTGTGAGAAATAAAGTGTTTATCTATCTACCTATCTATATACTTCCATGCAAACACTTATCACTATTTTAAAACTCATAAATTGTATTTTCTTCAACAGTAATAACTTTTTTAGAAAGACACACAAATAACTGCGAAAATTGTTGTTAACATTATAAGAAAAAATGCTTCACTATCGACGACAGCTCTACGGCTGTTTTAATGACAAAAAATACAATAATTGTTCAATATCCGAAAAATCTCATCTATTTTTAATGATTTGATTTATTGGGAGTATTCTAGACATACAATTAACACCAAATTGTGTAATTTACTTTTTTGAACTGCGGTATCATTTTCACTAGAATGACTCTCAAGTTAAGTGTGCGCTATGCATAGCTCTACCTGAGCCTCAATTTAAGAATTTCCTAATCCTACTGTTATTCTGGAAAGCTTTCAGTGTGTTTAAAATTATAATGTGACAGACAACCACACCTGATCTCAAAGTATATAATTCCCCCTGTACTATGAGTACTAGGGCACCCAGACAAGAACCAATTTGTTGAAAGTTACAATATGCAACCCAAGTAACTTAAGCATCACATTTGCTCGATCTCTCTTGGCTCAATATTGAAATTGTAGTTGCAAAAGAAAGAACAACAGAAAGAAGACAAGATTTTCAACAAAGAATTTTCTAGATCAACCTTGAAATTATTGTGCAACAATATTTATGAAAGTGGGTTCAGTTTGTAAACATTTACAGCTCCTAGTAATAATAATAATATGCTTAAATGATTGGTATTGGCGACTATAATATCCAATAAAACACTAATAGCACTTTCCTTTCACAAAAATATTCCCACATTATAACAACGAATCATTGTCATCTTGATAAGCAGCAATGAAAATTTAGTAGACCTCTCCCAAGATTGTAGGTTTTATGAGTACGCATCTATCAAATTTCAATTAATCAATACCCATGCCAACCATTACTTACCTGACACTACCATTAAAAAATGGGTGTGATACCCGGTTTTGGTAGACAACAAAAACAACCAACCAAATTATTACATGTACCTTAAGTAAATGGATTTAATAGAATCTTTATATTGAAAATTACACGTAACAATTAACTAAAGTACTAGAACATTCCTGTCTAGATTTTCGCGATTTAACTGCAAGGACATATAACGATAACATACATATACGATTATGAACCCCTGCGCTTTATTGCATCTTAAATGTAGGTACTCTCGTCATTGCATCTACGGCTGAAACATCAGTTTACAGCTTAGCTATATAACTCATAAATACATTGAACAATGCTTACCTGATTGAAACGCACAATCAATTTGCACTTGCACAGTAGAATAGAACTGAAGTTTCACAATAAAAATGTAAAAATCTCTTCTTTCTAGATTGTAGCAAAACTAGTTTGTGCTTGTCTGTCTGCAGTGGGTAGGGATGTTCCGATACGAGTAAATACGAGTAAATACTCGATACTTTTGTTTCGATACCGAGTACTTTTAGTATCGAATACCTTCTTTCGATTCTTACTCGGTATCGAAAAAAAAAACTTGTATCGAATCGAAACACGCATGCATAAATATTTAACATTAAACCCAATTCTCAAGAAAGGATCACCTTTCTTCCAAATTATTTTCCTTTTCCGTTATTTTCCGTGATGAATTCCCCGTTTTGCAGCAGCACGAACGCAAACTGCGAAGTGACGAAATAAAAAAGTGTATGATCTATGGTCCATCTTAGCGAAAGAGCAGCGAAATTTTTATACAGAAATAGCGGGTTCTTGTAGTCTATGGGCGGGTTTTTACTTAATCTAAATATTATTTACATATTATTGCCAGTGTTGCCAATTTATGAGGAATTCCCCGAATTTCAACTCCATTGGGGACTTCGTGGAATTTGCGCTATGTGGGGAAAATGTGGGGATTCTTACATTTTACCATTTTTCTTTAATCTATCGATTGCTGATGCATTGCTAATTTGATAATTGATGATAAAAACACTATTTATTATGAACGATATCGACATTTTTTTCAACACCACATATCCCCTGTTTATATATCAACATTTATGTAGAATTATTAGCAAGCCTCATATTTTTGAATTATTCGAAAGGCTTGAAGTACTTTGTCCTGTATGTAAAATTACTACATTACCAGTCGATGCGTGTTAAGCGCGCGACCCTTCCTTCCGTCCCGTTTAGACCGGTTTCAAGTATGAAGAAAATCGAAATCAGCTATTGCCAAAAAAACTGAGCAGTTGGTACTTTTACAACGCAACGTGTCACTCGTCAAGTTTAAATATTAAATTTAGGTCTAAACGTAACGTATTATGGTTGATGGTTACATTTTGACTTTCCTAATTCTTTGTTATATTTTTAAGCGATGGATTGTCAAAGCCATAATCTAAAATATACTAAATATTGAGAATGAGTATTTATTAAATGTGTGGATTTTTTTTAATAATGCACACACTCGATATAGCCCCGCACTGAGGAAACCCTGTGTCGCGGGTGCCATGGACACCCACATAGACAACCACAAATTACACCCAAACTCACGAGAGAAATAAATTTTGGCCACTGAGGCAGTTAATTTGTGGGGAATATGAACTTTGCTCTTCCCAAATTTGGTGACTTTAACCTTGATTTTTGGGGATTTTGAATAATTGGCAACCCTGGCTGGTTTTCACTCTTAGGGTCGTATTCTAGAACTATACTCAACCCTCAAGTCAGGATTTGAGCAGACTTGAGTATGATTTCAAGCACTGGAAATACGACCCTAATGGCAAGGACTTGAGTATGATTTTCAGTGCTCACTGCAATACTCAAGTTCTGACTTGAGTATTGAGTAGAGTTCTGGAATACGACCCTGAGGGTCGTATTCTAGAACTCTACTCAATGCTCAAGTCAAGGATTTGAGTATGGTTTAAAGCACTTGATGTCATACTCAAGTCCCGGCCATTAGGGTTGTATTTCCAGTGCTTGTGTTTCCAGTGCAATCCTGACTTGAGCATTGAATAGAGTTCTAGAATACGACCCTAATGGCAGGGACTTGAGTATGATTTCGAGGGCTTTAAACCATACTCAAATCCTGACTTGAGCATTGAGAAGAGTTCTAGAATACGACCCTTTAAAAAATTATTTTTAGCATCATTGCATCATAATTAAAATTTTGAATAATAAAATAAACGCGTGTCTTCCAATGTCCAATCTTGTTGCAATCTTCCACTTGACATTGGCGGAACCATCAATTGTATCGATGAAGCTATAATAATGTAAAAAAGAAAATAACGTTAATTTATTGAATTGTGCAGTGCGCGCTTGATAAAAAAGTTATAAATAATTAATTTTTTCTTGTTATTATGGCGTCGCCGAAATCAAAGTTTGGACTTATTTTACTAAAATTAATGACACCACGGCAAATTGCAAGCAAAGCAATGTTTTAAGACTGTGAAATTTTGTGGCAACACGTCCAATTTATTTAAACATGTGTTGTTTTTTTTTCTACAACAGTACTCACGGCACTGTTGTAGAAAAAAAACAACGGATCATCAGTGCCTCTGATGCTAATATATCAAGTATAAGGTATGTGTCTTATGTGTATACCTATGTAACAATAATTCTTTCATTTCTGTTGATTTCATGTTTCGAAGTTCTTTTAACTGTACAAAGTGTACAAGTTTATTTTTAGGTTATAAGTCGTTATTTTACCGTTCAAATGGTTTGTTAATAATTTTATTCACTATGTAACTAACTACGAATAGCTTTGTATAATAAGTAACTACCACTTTTTAAAATGACCGTACTTTGAAAAAATAATATGCCTTAGTGTTATGTACTACTATTTGGTATAATATATTCCTGCCTGTCTCGCCCACACACACGTCCGCGTCTTTACCGTGAAGCGTCCCGGCATTGATTGCCCCCCTCCACCAAACCGCGCGTCATAATATGTGCCCGAGACAGGTACAGAACCTCTTTATGTGTATTAGTATATATCGCTATAGTTATATATCTACATACACTACATCCCTTCCTTCTTATATAATTTCTTTGTTTTTATGTGTTATATTATATTAAATGATTTGATATGATTGTGCCATTTGAATAAATAATAAATTAACTTAATTAATCAAATGATCGTTTTATTCATTCCTTATTTCTTACTCAGAATCACCAACTTAAAACTAAGAATTTCAATTACTACTAGTACTGTATTCATTGTAACAAAATTACTAATTCAGAATATTTGTAGAATCAACAATTAACCTTAAAAACTAAATCGTTATTATCAATCACAGCACCGAATTTAAAATATCTCTTAAATTAAGAATTAACCATACAGAACTAAATTAATATTATCAGTCATAGTATCAGTCTCCTTCCTTTCCTCTCCTTTTTCCATAACTTCCCATTTACCTTCTACTTTTTTCAAGTGAACCACATTTCTTCTAAACGTCTGCCCTGTTTCCTCATTTCGTACTTGTATATCCCCTTTATTTGCCTTTTCAACTGTTAATGGATTAGGTGCAAAGTTCGTACTTAACTTATTATCTTTAATAACATTTTTCATATAGACTTTATCACCCGGCAATAGATCACATTCCTTAGCGTTTCTCTTTGCGTCCGTATACTCTTTTCCTTTTTCTTTAATTTCTTTGTCTCTATCTCGCACCTCCATATCCTCCGGTACGATCTGTCCAATATCACCGATCATCGGTATCTTATCCCGGAGTGCTCTTCTGAAAAACAAATCAGAGGGTGTTTTTCCCGTAACTGAGTGTGGAGTGCTATTGTATATTGCCAGATAATCTAACAATGAATCTTGCAACTTTTTATTTTCTACTTTGCCTATCTTCAATCTCTTTAATATGTCTCTGTTTTGGCGCTCTACCTCACCGTTCTGTTGGGGCCAGTAGGGAATCGTGTCGTGCAGGATAATATTTCGCTCACTGCAAAACGCTTTAAATTCCTCACTGACAAATTGCTTTCCATTATCCGCTGTTATTGACGACGGGTTTCCTAGACGGCTAAAAATTTCATTAAGATGAGCAATGATTTCTATACTTGTTATCTTGCGGCATATTTTGAGTTCTTTATATCTGCTAAAGTAATCAATGATAACAAATATATAATCTCCACTAGGCAATGGACCCAACAGATCTATAGCCACATCCTTCCAAGGTTCCTCAGGCAATTCCCGGCGTTTTAAAGGGTGAGGCAAGTTTGGGGCCGATACTAAGGTTTGCACCTTACATTTAATCACCTGTACATGATTTTACCAACTTTTCAGCTTCTCTATCATATCTGGGCCACCAAACTTTTGATCTTAAGCGAGCCTTCATTGATACAATGCCCGGGTGGCCTTCGTGTGCAGCTGCTAAAACCACTTTTCGTAAATTTTCAGGAATTACAATTTTTTTCCCCCTTAACAGAATCCCTTCGTGAAAACACAATTCGTTTTGAAATATTTTAAACAATTTTACTTCATCATCCCAGTTGTTATGATAGATACCTGCCTTTACTTTTTGTATTTCCGTGTCCTTCTCCGAACATTCTGCTATTTCTTTTAACGAAACAGCTCTTGGTCTCATGTATTCTATTATTTGTTGTATGTAATTTTCTTGTTCTATAAATGAACCGCCTACGATGTTACCTTCCAGCAAGCGTGAAGAAGGATCAGCAATATTGCTTTTTCCTGGGCGATATATGACCTTAAACTTGTACGACTGTAGTCGCAATACCCATTTTTCTATTCGTGCACATGGTCTAGACTTCGGTCCAAATATTACCTCCAATGGCTAGTGATCCGTTATCAAATCAAATTCTTTCCCATAGAGAAACATATGGAAGTGTTCCACTGCCCAAACTAATGCTAACGCCTCTTTTTTCGTTTGGCAGTATCGTCTTTCACAGTCTGTCAATGTTTTACTCCCAAATGCAATAATTCTTTGTTGTTGTTGTGTACTTGAACTAACACAGCACCTAACCCCACTGGACTTGCATCCGCAATAACAATAGTTTTCTTGGATGCATCATAGTAACCCAATGTAGGTATATTTGTGAGAGCTGATTTCAGTTTTTTAAAAGCCATTTGTTGATTAACCCCCCAGTCTTTTTGAATATCCGAATTCTTTCCAGGTCTATTTCGAAGTAACTCTTTCATGGGCTCAGTTACCGTAGCCAAATCCGGGATCCACTTCCCTATATAATTTACTAGCCCCATGAAGCTTTGAAGTTCAGCGACTGTCTTTGGAGGTTTAAAGTCTTGTATGGATGAAACATACTTCTGCAGTGGTCTCACTCCCGTCGCTGACAACTCGTGGCCCAAGAAATGCACTTTTTGTACTCCTATAATACATTTTTCTTTCCTCAGTACTACGTTATTATCTTTTAGCACTTGTCTCACCTTTTCCAGCCTAGCGTCATGTTCCTCTTTGTCTTTGCCG